TGCAGCTCCTATGGGCCCTAAGTAGATAAGAACCACATTCCCAGCCTCATTCCTCAATACCCCTCCCACCCTTGACGGACTTGGATTACCAAGACTACTTCCATCGAAGTTCAGCTTCAAAAAAATTTCAAGAGGGGGTTCCCAAGTCAAACTCACTTTAGTCTTTCTAGATGAACAATTAGCCACTGCTAACCAATTCCTTTGAATATCACTAAATGAGAAATGATGGAATAAGTCCAATGATTTTAGCCATAAGATCACCCTATTTAGAATGCATTCCTTCATCTCTTCTAAGTTTCTCTCCTTCTCTTGGAAGGTTCTAGTATTCCTTTCTTCCCACACAGACTAGAGCAACGCTACTCTTGCACACCTCCACATAATTCTTCCTCTTCTATGCTGCCAAGGGAGGGAAGCAGGATCAAAAATCAAACTTGCATCCGTTGGCCTAACCAACCTGCACCCAAACAATGAGAAGAGCCGCTCCCATAACTTTGCAGTAAATGAACAAGAAATTAGTAGATGGTTACAGTCCTCACCATGTGACTTGCAAAGGATACAGCAAGAGCGTGAAAGACAAAGATAAGATCTTCTCTTTTGTAGAATGTCTAAGGTGTTTATTTTCCCATAATGCACTTTCCAACAAAAAGCCATAACCTTAGGGGGAACAGGCCTACACCAAATCTCCTTAAAAGGGAAAGGTCGAGTGGGGTTAGATTGAGTAATGGATTTAAAGAAAGAAGCGCAAGAGAAGGATCCATTTGGCTTGGGTATCCAAATCCATTTGTCGGATTCAGAAGGGTCCAAACACACTGTATCAAGTAGGCTTAGCAGATTTGTTAGGGACACAATTTCCTCTTCCCTTAGACCTCTACGAAACCCAAAATCCCAATTCAGTGTTAATGGATTATTCATAAACGAGCAAAAATTTGAGACAGACTCCTTTTTGTACCTTGAAACAGAGAACAAAGAAGGGAAGAGGTCCTTCAATGGAGCCTCTCCAACCCAGATATCCTCCCAAAAAAGAACATATTTACCATTACAAACATCATACCTGACAAAACTGAGAAACTGAGGAAGGATGCCATGAATAGCTTTCCAAGGAGTTGCCAAGGTTGCCTGCCATGATACTCTAGCATCCCACCCATTATCAGAGCGACCATGAATACTACCCACCACCTCATGCCAGAGCCTCTCTCTCTCTCCATTGGCCACCTCCACAGCCACTTCCCCAGCAATGCTTTATTTGTTGTAAACAGATTCCCTAACCCCAATCCCCCCTCCTCTTTATTCCGGCATACAATCTCCCATTTTATCAAGTGATCGTTCTTACCTTGTCCCGGCTCCTTGAGAAAATCTCTCATCACCTTCTCTAGCTTCTTAGCTTCCCTAGGTGGTATCCTAAACACAGATAGAAAATAGGTTGGTAGGTTAGCTAATGTGGCTCTTATCAACGTGACAAAAACTACTTTCCCTAGGGCTTGCCCCTAATGGAAGCCCTAAGTAGGTCATAGGCCATGACCAAATAGAACACCCTAAGCTTCTTGCTATAGCCTCCACCTGACTGTCCTCCAAGTTAACCCCGGCTACACAACCCTTCCCAAAGTTGACACTCAGACTTGACACCCTCTCAAAATTCCTAACCAGATCCTTGAGATTTCTCACTTTCTCAATATCATCCCCTTCACAGAAAATCAAAATATCATCTGCAAATTGGAGATGGGTGACCGGAATATCATCCCTACCTATCCTCCACCCTTTAATCACTTCTTCTCTGTCAGCCTTTGAGATCATTCTACTAAGCACCTCTGCTATTAGAGTGAAGAGGAAGGGTGATAGAGGGTCCCCTTGCCTGATACCTCTACAAGCTAGGAAAAAGTCCTTCACCACTCCATTAACCAGGATAGAGTAATGGCATGAACTCACACATACGAAAATCCAACTACACCACTTATTTCCGAAGCCACAATTTCTCATTACTTGTACCAAGAAGTGCTAGCCCACCAAGTCATAGGCCTTCTCTAGATCCAACTTACAAACAAAGCCTCTTCTTTTCGATCTCCTCATATCCTCCACACATTCACTAGCAACTAGGATCTGATCTATTATTTGTCTTCCTTGAACAAATGCCCCTTGGGCTTGGCTTATTAGGGATGGGAGAACTACTTTCAGCCTCGAAGACAACACCTTAGCCAATATTTTGTAAGTGCTAGTTACCAAACTAATTAGCATGTAACCCTTATGGTGAGTAGCATCTAGTTTCTTGGGGACTAAGGCCAAAAAGGTGGCATTGACTCCCAGGCTGACTATATGATTCTCGACGAATTCCTTAACAGCATCACATAAATCCTCTTTCAAAATGTCCCAACAATCTTGGTAGAAAGCCATAGTAAAACCATCCAAACATGGCGCCTTAGATCTATCCATCATGAACATTGCCATCCTGATCTCCTCTTATTCAATGTTCCTTTCTAACCACCTTGCTTTTTCTCCACCTAACCTCGACCATTCCAATCCTTCTAAAGGCACCCTCTCATTCAATGTCCTTCTAAAGATAGCTTTAAAATGGTCTACAAAGGTTCCAACTATCTCCTCCTGATTGGTAATTACCTACCCTTCTACCTCTAGTCTATCCGCTAAGTTCTTCCTCCTCCTACCATTTGCCAACTCATGAAAGAATCTAGTATTCCTATCTCCCTCCTTAATCCACCTATAACTTGACTTCTACCTCCAACAGATCTCTTCTCTGAGTAGAACCTCTTTTATCCTTTTTTAATTGCCTTATTGATTCTCTATCCTGCCCACTCAACAATCCTTGGGCTTCCCTCTCATCCAGCTCTTCAATTTGTGTGAATAAGTTCAGCTTTGGTTCCTCTACCCTACCAAAATGATCTTTATTCCACTCCTTCAACTTGACTCTCAGTCTCTTCAGCTTCTGATGGAATTTGATTCCTTTCCACTTTATTCCCCTTAACTCCTCAGTCTCTTCAGCTTCGGTTCGGTTTTGGTTACCGGTTTTCCAAAAACCGGAAGTACTAGTTCGGTTACAAAATATTGCCCACAAAGGAAGGGGACGTGGCTGCAATGTATGCTACTGGTGTAGGTGGAGAGGAAGCCTTTTCATTCTTCTCTTGCTTGAAAGACTTGTCAAACCTGGCACAACATTAGTAGGCCATGTGGTTCATCTTGAGACAGATCTGGCATTTAACTCCTTGGTAGGGGTTCTGTTTCTTCCCCTTGGCACCATCAATAGTCTTCTTTGATTTGGTTCTTTCATCTTTGTGCAGTGGTTGGTATCGTGTTGGGAACACGGACCAAGTTAGCAATCAGAACAGTTTCTTGGAGTGATTCAAGCAAATCTCATAGTTCAATAACAAGGATTGAACCTCCTTGAATGTATAATCATCAGGACATACCATGATAGAGGTGACCGGTGATTCAAAATCCGGCCCCAATCCACTTAAAGTGTATTGAACAAGTTCAGAGTCGAAGACGAATTCACCAACAACAACAAGGTTGTCAGAGAGCATGCATGCTTTCTGTAAATAATCGGCTATTAAGCTTTCATCTTTCTTGAGATGAGTGAGCTCGAATTGGAGTTGCATTGCTATGGCATGGGATGGAGCAGAAAAGATAAATGATAGGGCTTCCCATGTTGCTTTGGAGGTTTGTGCCCGATGACCTGGGCCAAGACTCCTTCGGTCGGTGGACAGTATCCAACTAAGCAAGATCTGAACCTGTAGTTCCCACAGTGAATAATCTGGATTAGGAACAACGGCATGTCCATTGTATGTGTTTTCAGGTGGGCTCTTGATAGTGCCATCAAGGTAGCCCATTACGTTGAACCCTTTTAGGATGGGGATGAATGAAGACCTCCACAGTAAGTAATTGTGACAGTCAAGTTTTACAAGAATAAGTTGGCTAACTAAGGCTGGTATGTTAAGGTTGATGATGGAGATACCAGTGCAGTCTCCAGAGGAGATTCTGGTAGTTGTGGTGGTGGTGGACATGGTCGGATGGTGGTCCTTTCAGGGCTCTGATACCATAAAATATTGAGAAAAGGGGCTTCAGAGAAATCGTTCAACCTCAAAATCTCATCCATGGTTGAACACCAGGTTTGTATTTATATACAGTATTTTGTACAGAGGCAGAGTTTTAGTGAAATACATTGATTGAGTACAATAGCAATCCAAAGACTTTGTGATTGGGGTGATGACGTGGGTGTAGTTTTTTTATTTTTTTTGATAAATATGACGTGGGTGTAGTTGCAATGATGTTTATCCTGTATCCTTATCTGTTAGAAGATAAAACAAAGCAGATCTGAAATAGACTCCCTTTGGAGAATCTGTTTTGAATGTTGGATTGACATAATGAAGAGTCAATATAACTTATAGTTTAATACTTCATTTTCTGGACAATAAATAAAGAGGACCCAAGCTATCATAACTGCACAATCCATCAACAAACCAACTACATCAGTTCACTTCTTGAAATACCACCAACCAGATGCAGCATAAACCAAAAAATTGATCAACCAGGCAACTCCAGCCATTGCAACTTTAAACAACTGGTTATTTTCCATTGATTCTGTTCTGGCAATCCAATGTCTAGGAGCAGAAAAATTATTCCCATGGTCTAATTTCAGCCATACACGTACTTGAATTAACCCACCGATTGAAATTGTTAAGGCATATTGTTGGAGGAATATAGAATATAATTAATTTTTAAAGCATAATATGGAAGCAAGAAAAGTTATGATAAATTTCAGGTCAATGGAATTCTTTTTTCTTTTGAGTAGGAAAATGTGCAAAACAATGGGGGTAGCCCTCCCAATAAACACCTCCCAAAACCCTGATGAAGGTGGGAATAGATTCCAGGTCACTGCTACAACCACAGGGATCTTTACCATCAAGCCAGGAATTCATTGCCATATTTTAGTTCCTGTTTTTATAATCAACCATTTTTCAATTAAGAAGCATTGTCTTTAATAATTCATCACTTACCGCAATAGTCATTTTCTGTGCAACAACCTTGGACGACTCATAAAGTGGTCGCAGCACCTCGGGCACACTCCATGCCTGAATTAGGAATGCAGAAAATAAGTTTTCTATCAAGAAAGATTAATGTTGGAAATTAAAAGATCCTAAACCATACCTCAAGATTCAGGTGGTCAACAATGTGAATGATTGAGCCTCCACCTTCACATGGTCGAATCAAGTAACCACTTGGTAACATCTCAGCTCTTACAAATTGGGTAGCAGCAGCTGAATTTGGACCAGCACCAGAACCAGATAATGACCTCTCACATACCTTGAGATATTGCAACAAAAAGAGAAACAAAAACTTCTAAGATTACATCGGGAGGTATGGTTTCATAAAGATACAATTTAGTTTTAGCAAAATCCAAACCAGTCAAAAGATCCTATTTATAGAAATCCGATGGCTAATGAAGAAAACAAATGAAGGCTAGCAATGACAGGAAAAAAACAACAGATGGCTACAATTGCCAATTCAACAGATTTTAGCAAACAAAATTTACTAATAAAAAAGGATTGGATCCAAAACAATGCAAATTATCTTAGCCCAACCTAATGCCAGATGTCAGCAATCCAACAAAACAAATGGGTGCATAATGCCAAGGAAAAAAACTATACAATAGATGGCTACAATTGCCAATTAAGCAGATTTTAGCAAACAAAATTTGTTAGAAAAAAAGAGAGAGAAACAGGGTGCCTAATGTTGGAAGTTGTCATATTTGCCATAAGCCAATTTAGCACATGAGGTGTCAAATTGTATGCACAATATGGCCATAGGGTTGATGCAGATAGAACTCTCTAATTTTCATTGTTGGGCATCATAGGTTCTCTCCTTGTTTATTTGTTGAATTCCTATGCCCTATGATTTTGTGAATGATTATCAAACTATGACATATGCCCCTTGAATTGTTTAATCGAACCTTTTGATCATTATTTAAGAGTGCCTCCTTTGGGAATTGGCAACAGTGACAAGTGACCATCATGCTATAGAAAGTTCTTAGTTACATACCACAAGACTGCCATCGTCTAAATTTATGGTGTATCTCAGAGTCCAGAAGTCTCGTGCAGGAGCCAGTGTAGTTGGAGCATACATCTGAAAACAACCATATACAAGTATAATCCACGTGAAGAGCATAACTAAAATGGTGCCAATTTTCAAAAAATGGGAAAGAAGAGTAAAATCCTCAACTACTATGGCTAACCTGCATGTATATCAGTTCGATTGTTCCTCCATTTCCAGCTGGAAACATTGTAAAGACTTCAAGGCTCCGACAATCTCGAAACCAAGATAGACGGTCTTTGAGGATCTCTGCAATCTGCAAGAAAAGAAAAGTTGCCAAAAAGCAAAGTGCAAAGAAAAATGTAATATCACCCAGATGTAGACCACCTTGAAATTTTTAAGCTGACAGGGACAGTAATAATTTTTCTAAAATTTTTCTCTTAAAAGTGTCAATCAATCCCAACAAATGGATGGCAATCCCCTTGCCAAAATATCAAAGTCAACTCATAACTCCAATGTGGTCATCTTGATTTCATCATAATCAAGAAAAAAAACATCCGATAGTTTTGCTACTCACCTTTGTAGGTTCTAAACTTACTAAACCGCAGGCTCGTGCTGCCACTCCACTGCAAGCATGTGAAATGGCAACAATCCCAACCGAATCCGGACCAGGCTGGAGACATTAAAAAAAATATTTTACCTTCACATATAAAGGTAAAGCCAAATTTACATTGGCCTAGGAAAATGCAAATGAACTGATTCAAGAGAAAAAGAAAGAAATAAAAATAAAGAATCGGTTAACAATAAAAAACCTTCATCCCAGGCATCTGGACCCAATCAACAGCAGTTCCTGTAGCCTTTGAAAGGAACTCTGCCAAGGTCTCCTCTGCAATGGAGAGGAGTCTGCGAGAGAAACAAGAACAAATATCAATAATAAGTGCCAACTGAAAGGATAAAGAAATAATTTCACCACTGGGCCTGTGTTCACACAAAGACACGCAAGAGAGTTATTACCCAGCGGGGTTATTGGCATCCCTTAGAGGATGCTGAGGTGTGGTAACAACAGACTCACAGCTAGCATCAGTGGTTGCAGCAGATGCCTGCAGAAAACTAAATATCATTAGGAAAACCAAATGGGCATATCCAGAGAAGCCCCAAGAAACGGTGCAATATTCTTTTATTTCTTGATCCTTTGCAGTATTGATATTTATTACAGATGAAGCATTATATCTTTTAAATGAAAAGGGTTGCAAGAACTAAAAGCAGCTTTGGATTTTGTTCAAAGGAAACAAACAAAAATTATAAAAGGAAAAAAACCAGCTATCAGAAAATAAAAACATAATAACTATAAATGGAAACTTTAGGTTTGCAAGAATTTGAATCTTCCTTTCATTTTTCACAAAATACACATAAAACAAAAATTGTGAGTGGAAAAGGCCAGCTTTGAGAAACAACAACCAAAACCACAGTAGAAGTTGAGATCTACATATAATACACACAAATTATAACTAAATGCACTCATTGACTATTTGTGTTTCTATAACAACTTAAACAATTAAGGTAAACAACCAGGAAAAGGAGGACCTGCCAGGTGAGTGAAATGAAACTTATGGGTTCATGATGACAATGATGGACAGAAAGAATGGAGAAAAGAAGAATCGGCAAATGGATAACCCAAAACTACTGGCAAAAGCTTGCAATGGATAGAACTCACGTTCTGCAGCTGCTGCCTCATATACCCATTCTCGCATACCAGCTGCGATACCTGCTTCTGAAGGCGATCATTCTCCTCCATCAATAGCTTGTTCATTGCAGTTAACTTCCTGTTCACGGTCTGTAATCGAGAAGCTTCTTTCCTTTGCTTCTCGCGGCACCTACAAGAAATAACATGAGAGAGAACATCATAATTTCGATTTCCAAGTTTCTTTCCGTCTCCAATATAGCCTCAAATAGATTGAAAACAAACTGAATCACAGAATTCTGCAGCTATTTGGTTCTCCAAGAAAAGTGGTGAGAACTCGGACTGCTGCCGAGTCAACGAAAACCGTGTTGACTACAATTCGGGGACTCGGTTATACTCTTTTCAGTAACAGAGAACTCGGTTATACTTTAGTAAGCAATTGGCGCCTAGGAAGTACGACTCAGGACTCGGGAGAATGGGAGCTAAATTGATCTGTTAAGGCTTCAGAGTAATAGAAGCCAACAAAAAAGGGCGTAATGGGAAATTTTCGAGTTATTTTGCTCTATCGTTTTTTTTTCCCAATATGGAGAAAAAAATATAAACCTCTTTTTGGTAAAAAGACCAGGGTTTTTTTTTGAAATAAAAAATACGAGGTTTGATTTTTGGCAAAAAAAAAAAGACTAGGTTTTTGTGGTGAGGTGAGACTTGAGAGAACGCTTTACTTTGAAAATTCTACTAAAAAGGTCAGCTAGAATTCGCTGTTGAAGCAAAACTCGTCCGATCGGTTTTCGACACGACCGAGTCCTACCGACTCTTAAGAGTCCAGGTATTATTACATGGACAAGAAACAGACAAGCTGCGGCTCCGAGAAGAAATGCTTGCGAAGAAAACGAATACATTAAATCAAATAAAAGATGAAGACAAGCGAAATATCTTATATACGACTTCTTGCCTGCGATTCTGAAACCAGACTTTGATTTGCCTGGGTTCGATATGGGAAAGAATGGGACACTCGCGGATCAGTTGCTGCCGTCTCATCGAACTCGGCTTCGGACATTCGGCATAGACTCTTTCAAGAGCTTCGACCTGCTCGGCAGTATAACGGACATATTTACCGGTATCAAGATGCTTGTTCATGCTGCCACTGCTGCTCTCTCTATGTGGCGCCACGGCCATCGCCATTTTTTTTCCTTTTTCTTTTTTCTGACACGTGAATTGGAAATCCGCTACAGAAGAAAAGAGACAGAAATAAGCACTTGTAGAACGGCCTTTTAAGCAAGCAGTTTTACCTAAGATTTCTCTCGTAAATTCCGTCTTAGCGAAATTAGAAACTAAAGCAGACGTTGATTTAGAACTAAAAGAGCTTTTCTGGTTCTGGAGTGCTTATACTTGCAGTCTTGCAGATATTATTTACGAATTTACTACGAAAAATCTCAAACAAGCTTCCGCAAAATACAGTTCCGTATTTCCTATTCTTTTTCCTTTTCTCTCCCTCTGAAACCTCCTATTCTTGGTCGATGGAGTTGCCAGCAACTGATTATACAAAAGCTCTTTCAGTAAGTGATGAAGACAAGTAAAGTTCCCGGTTTCTGAAGCATACCAACGCTTTGAGCTAAAACCATCTCATTCTTGTCCTAGTTTCTAGAACAAAGAAGCAGGTCTCTTTTTTTTTAAGGCGCCTAAAGCAGCAGAAGCTGAGCTTTGTGATTCTTTTGACCAATATTCTGCTACTTCGACCTTTGAATCGCAGAAATAAAGCCTTCGTAAGAATCCTAACACCAGACTTTTTAGTCGGGAAGCTCTTTAAGCACAAGACTCCATTATCGAACTAGATTGCAACCAAAACCTTAAGAAAAACTGAACTACGTCCAGAGAAATAGTCCTTAAATTAAAGCTCATTATCAACCTCGATTCCAACAAATAAACTCACGCTCGTAACCGCACGAAATCTCTTTAGATACAAAACGCAGTAAGCTTTAATTATGGTCAACAAACTTCGGCTTAAATATCAAAAGACTAAATATAATGGAAAACACAAAGAAAATAAAAATTCTCCGTTACAACCTCAATCTTCACGTTTGGAGATCAGATTCAGCGGGAAAACTTAACTCCGGAACTTTCCATTTTCAGCATATCAGCCCAGTCATCCCAAATCGCGCCAAGTTTCACGGGAAAAAAAAAAACAAAGAAATAAAGACCGTAAAAGAAAGCCTATGATATTCCCTCTCCCACCTCCCTCTTCAGAGAGGGCTCTCTGGACGAAGAGAGCCTCTTCTCTCTGGCATTAGAAACCAATAGAAATTATGAATAATGTGGCGAAACTCATGGAGACAACAGAAACCCTAACCGTATCCGCAGAGATTCAGATCACACAGGAGAGAGAATAAAATGCGAGGAAGATGAGAGAAAATGGAGAGGGGAGAGGCACTTGGGCCTAGATGTACTGTCCACCTTTTTAAAAGGGTGAGGGGGGTGGAGTGGCAGAGAAGACGAACAGGAAGCAGCTCGTTCTCGGCTGTAACAGTACAGAGAAAAAGAAGTTCCTTGCCCGCATATCGAAAATCCCTTACCTTCTTTATAGCGATCGAGTTTACGTCCTTGTCCTTAGTGTTTTCTGAGAATGACAGCTAAAAATTAAAAACTCTTCCTTACCAAAATCTCCCCTGAGTTGTTAACATTTACGACAGAGGAACTGGGGTGTGGCTTTGTCTCTAAATTGACAGAATATGCGCAGGCCCGAGCCCGAGCCCGGCGCGACAATCGGACCTAGGTTATGAGTCCAAGTCCGGCCCGAACTCGAGCCCGTCTAGAAATTTAGAAAAAAATATATATTTTTTTAATTTAACTAAAAGTTGTTTTATTTATACTAAAATACCTCAAAACCTACCAAAAATAATGAAAAAGTCTCATTATTATTTGAAAAAAGAGAAGAAAAATATATTATATATACTTTTGTATCATATAAAATATATTTTTATTGATATAATATATTATCAAGTGGACTCGGGCTTGGGCCAGGCTTTTTTGATAAAGCTTGAGCACGGCCGGAAAAAAAATTGGGCCTGATATTTTAGGCCTAAACCCGAGCCTACAGGCCTAAAATATTGTCTAAGCCTGACTTAGATCAAGCCGGGTCGAGCCGACCCATGAACAAGTCTAGGTGTGGTTATATCCGTGGGTCAAGTTAAGTGATAAACCCAGCTTGATCCGTATAGGTTTGGGTTATGGTCAATATATTTGGCTTTAAGGTCGGGTTAGGGTTTTGATTATTTAACTCTGAGTCAAGTTTAGGTTTTGGCTAACTCGCCCACTAGGTCATGATACCCTTCATATATACAATGCATTCTTATAACTTTTGACTTCTAACTCTATTGCTTTAACGTTTAAGATTTATTTATATGTTGGCTTAGTTTTTTTCTTTTTCTTTTTTTGTTTTGAATGAGAAGTGACATCTTAAATTCTATAAAACAATTTTCTAACTTAAATTAATGGATTTTAGGTCTTCAAAACGTGTTAAAAAAATATAATTGAAATGCTACGGGTCAGGTCAAGTTAGTATCAGGTTAGGCCCTTGTCGGGTTAGATTTAGAAATCATATACTTTAAGGCAAGTTGGGTTTGTGTTGAGAAAAACCCGTGACAGACTTGACTAGTTGACAACCCTATGTGGGGCTTAAATGGAAAATTTATCCATCTTTTATGGATGTGAGGTGCCTGTAAATTAAGACCAGATTAGCACCTACGGAACACGCTCCACAGGCACATCCTAACGTGCATTGGGAAGATCTCCTGTACTTGTCATAGGAAATGCTTATGATACACGGTTGGGATGGGTTATGGGGCGTGCTTAGTGGGTTGCTGCTGCAAATTCCTGGAAATTGTTTTTTCTTTTTTTTTTATGATGAAAATTATAAGTTCCATTGGTGCAAGAGAAACACAAAGTGTAAATTTGGCACCCCACAAAGAAATCCCCACATAGACTTCACAGTATGTTATGCCATACATCGGAAATATGTCCTATGTATCTATTATTCATGGGAAGATGTTTTCAATACAGGGTGAAATCAGTGTAAGGCGCATTCTATGAGAGCAAATCCCAATTTCACACGCACGTATCAGTGTGTGAGACATATATGTGATAGTTGAGATGAATTAGGATCTGCTAATAAAACACGTTCCAACCCTCTATCAACTTGATCTAACACCACATATGTGATTGGGTCTCGATTGAGATGTGTTGTGTAGTATTTGTGATATGACTACGTGGGGAGCGGATGCAGAATTTATACACTAGTGATCTACTGCCCATAAATTCTCCTCACATCCTCATACATAATACACCGTTATATTTAGAATATCTCATGAATGATAATGGAGATATTCTCTGTTGGATTTAATCTCATACGAGATTGGTCAATTACATGAGAAAATGCACCTGCACACTTGGTTGAAAAATCAGTTTTTCTCTTACAAAAACCCAGTTTTGAACTTGTCCCACATTGGAAAATTATAAGTTTTGTTTTCAGTATTTCAATAGGAGCTAATTTACACTCCTTAGAATTAGCAGAGGAGAGTGGGGATTCGATACCGCGCAACACGCTTTAGAGGCGCACTTTGCTCGCACTTCGCGTGCACCCGCGTGGCTCTCGATGGGTGGCTTTGGTTTTGGTGCATTGCTAACCGTTGATCACCGTTGATGAGATTAACGATCACAATTCGATCGGGTGTGATCAAGAGGCACAATTCAAAGTTAACAGTCACCAATTGTTAACTACTTTTTGAACAGTCACAATGATTGTGACTGTTCAAGGTGCATTCTCTAACTAGCACCCACCTTTTCCTCATATCTCTTCATAAATTATTTAAGGAGCATGAATCAGACTCCAAATCACACAATTTCGAAATTCACTCTCTCTCTCTCTCAATCCGGTCTGCTACAGTCTCACAGAAGGTTTATTTGGAGATTCTTCAACTTTGTTGGTTGTAGATTCTCGCCCAAGGCTCTGTTGTATCCTGGGAACGAATCTGTAACCCAACAACAAACTCAGTAAAACTGAGTGGGGGCGAATAACGTTATCAACGATCAGTTATAGTATTATGTGAGCAAGGATGTTAGACGACCCTATTAATGGGAGATGTGTATTATTTCACAACAAGCTCAATTTTGTTTTTAAAAATAAAAACAACCGCCATATCAACAAAATTAGATGTTATTATCTAATTTACCCCAAAAAAGTCCCACACGCATGTGACTTATTCTCGTGTTAGCTTCCATTTCACCCAAAAAAACGAATTTCACTCCTCTATTTCCCATTCATACTCGGTCTCTCACTCTTCCCCCAGAGCGAGTTTGGGAAGAGAAAGGAAGAAGAATAAATATGGATGGTCATAAGGGGGGCAATCCATTGGGGTGGGAAGTGAGGAGGGGGAAATTTATATGGAATAGTAAGGATTTTTTGAGCATAGGGGGGCTGGCTCAGCCCCTGCCTCCCCTGCCAGAGACTACCAAAAATCCGACGGGCGATCGTTCCAGCAGATACATCGGATACGTGTTCTTTTCCCCTCTCATCCCATTTACTCTTGAATACGTTTCTATGATTTTTTTTTTTTAACTTTTTTTTTTACAATGGAAAAAATGCATAAGGGAAGAACCGCAGTCCGACACAGGTGCGGTTTATTCCAAAAGCAAAAGAAAAAAAAATATTTTTCTGCATTTTTTCCATTGCAAAAAAAAGGTAAAAAAAATAAAAACTAAGACAAACTGATTCGAGAGTAGATGAGATGAGAGGACGGAGAATGACAGAGTACATACCTCCGGTGTATCTGCTAAAACGATAGACCGAATATGAGCAGGGAAAAGAGGTGGGGCGGACTGAGGGACGTTTTTGGGGCACAAGCTGATAGGGGCAGATTCGGACTAATATCTATTGTGAAGTCCGTGTGATGAACAAATCCCAATTTATCAAACATCCTTACTGGAGAGTTCCGATCACTTACCAATACCCTCCCGATATGATTTGACACCACACATCTCATACATTATGAGTCATGTTTTTATTGACACCACACATCTCATATATGATGGGTTCTGAAATAATGGTGGAGAGTGTTGGAAGGTCTTTTTGTTGGTAGGTGATCCCAATTCACAACTAGGTAGGCATTTGAAAGTGTGGGCATTTTTTGAGACCAATTTTCAAGAAAAAATACCATGTTTTTAAGACCTGTTTTCCACAAAAAAATGCTTTTACCATATAGGCAGTGAGCAATACTATACTGTTTGGTAAATTGATTTTTCATGCATATGCTGACAGGTAAGCACAACATAGGATACATATCAGTCAACCATTAGGAATAACGGTTCACCGATGCATAAAACGCCAAATTTAATGTTTCATACATCAATGGGATCCCAAATTATAAGATATGCCCAATTTTTTCATAAATAACTGAACCAAACAATGACATATATACATAGGCATTTGTTGAAACGCCTATATAAATCCGATATAGCACCGTATTTTTGAAAAACGATCATAATTCCAAACATTCCCTAGAAGAGAGTGGTCACATGTTGTTAGTATGGGTTGCTCCTATTGAGTATTGACAGTTACCAGTTGCCACGACCACAATAGCGACTCCATTGTCGGCATCACCAATATTCCTTTTACATGCGTTAAATATTGCTTTGAAAGATATATATCTAAAAAATGGAGACAGGCTCCCCCTATAACCACATGGTGGAGGTACTTGGTGTTGGAAGTTGGCAAGTGAAGACGTGTGAAGTGGCAGAACATGTGGACCTCCTTTTTGGAGGTTTCTCCATTTGTCAGAAGCCTCTCCAGAAAAGAACTGTCCCCCATGAAAAATTAAATAAAACATTCATTCCTTGGTACAAAACTGAATGGTAGGACCCCCACTTGGTTATGTTAGGAGGACTACTGAGAGTGCAACCAGCAACATCCAACGCCCCAAACCAAAATAGTGATCATCTAACCCAAGTCGTCCAGCGTCGCTCAGTCTTCGAGAATAAATTAAAAAAAACGAGGCATTAATGTTGACTCCAGATCTCCTGCCCACAATAATTCTGTTTGCGTCTACCTATAACACATGCACCACCTCGTGAGTGTATTTGGAATATCTCTCTATGTATAATATTGCGTAGAAAGATGAAATATTCTCCTATAACACATATACTTACCCACATATGTAAGTATATGTGGGTAGGAGATCTGAATTCATTAAAAGATCGAAATTGCTCCTCACACCAATCTCATCACGTCTGCATTAAAAACATTCATAGAAAGATGTTCCTAATGCAATATTGCCATGCACTACTGAGGTTGGTGTGAAACACGCTCTATGAGAAACAAATCAGAATTCAAAATCATGTACAGTGGGTTAGGCAATCTATAACGAGCCATTTTTTCGCCTGTATAGAACATTGGTTTAGCACACGGCACACCAATATATATAAAACATTGATGTGTTTACTCTTGATAGGTTACTCAGCCCTGTGTATGATTTTGTAATGTTAAATAGTA